TGTGACTCTTTGGCGTTTCCGTTATTATTAACACTGCTGCTTTAGTTGTTCTGACTGCTGAAATCCTCTATTATTCCGTGGGGTGGGGGAGCCGGGAGCTCGGATCCTTGTCACCTTTTTCATACCTGATGAGTTTGCATCCCTTTATGTTAAAAAGCCTCAGTCACCTTAATTCATGTAATAAAAACATCTCAGGTCAGTAACACTCAAAGCTAAATGTGCAATACCATGTTCAGCTATGTTACTATTTATAATGTTATTGTTGTTACATCAGAAGATGTACATATTGAAATGATATCTTAACTTACAGTAGGCTATTTTTTACAATGTGTGTTGGAAGGATTTATTAAATTACAATGAATATTGTCATTGTTGAAGGCTTTTAGAGAAGGGTGAGCCTGAATTACATAACATTTTATACCTAAAAACATAAAAGCCACAATAAATAAATCACAATTATTCTAGTCATTTTTACCTCCCGTATTGCTTTCAACCCTTTATTGTGGCTTTTATGTTTTTAGGTATAAAATGTTATGTAATTCAGGCNTAACTAATTTGTGGCCACGCATTATTAATACGTGGCCACGTATTAATATTTTTCTCACCAATGTCACCAGGGGGGCTCCGTAAATATGTACTATATGTGCAATATATATATATGCCGTTAATAACTGTGTAATTTATACCTGGCTGCTAAACCCTTGTTACTGTTACAAGGTACGTATCTTGTATTTTGTAAATTGTGTAACTTGCTGTTAAATACCGTCAAACTATGTGCAATATATACTTTATATATTTTATATACATATGCCATCTTTAATAACTGTAATATACACCGGGCTGCTAAATCCTAAGAACTGCTACAGGATTTGATTTGTAGATTTGATTTGTTTTTGATCTGTATTTTTGAAAATTATGTAACTTTTTTAGTTTTTATCTTTTTTTAGCATATTGTTTATTATATTATAACTTAGTACTTTTTTTAACGCATGTAAGATATGCAACACTAAGCTGTCTGTGGCTCTTTCCTGCTGTAACGCTGCAAATTTCCCCTCTGTGGGAC